GGCCTGTTTCTATTTCTGTGTTCTCATACTGTTCATTTTCTATCCTAAATATTTGAGACTATTTACACACGTTATAACTATCCCTCTAAAATAATAACGTGAAAGTCATGGAAAACTGAACTGTTTCTTCAAAATACCGTGAAGATATCGTCAAATCATTATAGAATCAACACTCGGTTCTTTGAGCAAACGAAGTGAATAGTTTGAACAAGAGGAAAAATCATTTTCTACGTCGGGTCGTTCAATCTGCCTAGTTTACGCATGATTGCATTTCCTAACCATTTAATAAAAGAAAATGTTATTATCGTTGGCGCTTATCTTTAATCTTTTATGTCCAAACAGAGCGGCGAACACGCTGTCAAATGTTCTGCTTGGTTAAATCATCCTGTGTTTTTCATTTTATTTCTTTCGTTTCATTTAGCCATAAGGGTCCACTTCGCTACTTTCTGTAAAGATGAAGCACCGAAGATCAGCGTTAGACGGAGAGAATAACAAAATGCTTTGGTTGCTTTACATTTTTCATTTCGTAAATGGTTACAGTTTGTTATGCTACTGCTGTTTTATTTATATTCATGAAAGCAAGATTTTGCATCGTCGAGGTGAATGATACACAGAAAGGAATGAGTTCTTTATATATTTATTCAGCGCCTGTATCCTGTGCTAACGAATTCATATGAAAACACATAATAAGTTGCATAACAATTAAAAAGACAACTTAAAAGAAATAGAGGAGGGTCAAATGCTGCATAGCCAAAGGAAGATCAGTCCGAATAATAATCAGCTTAGTATCAATATGCAAATCAACTGTTGAAGTCTTTAATCGTAGACTATTTTTAGGCTATGAGACCGGCCATCTGCTAGAGCGTTGAAGGGGTGCCAGCAACTCTACAACGAAGGTGTTGTGGAGTAAACAGCACATACCTGCTGATTCTATTAACTCGCCCAATAATATGTTCGTGACAAGACAAGTCTTCTGTTATCGGGCAGAGAGTGACTCAGCCGGTTAGAAACTCGGCAGAGAAAAAAACAGATTATTAATATAACTGATCCCGCTTTAGCGAAGTCTGTGTAAATTTTGACCAGTGTCCCGGGTGGAAACGCTCGGGAATCCACAGACAAAACATGACCTTTTGTCGCATCACGTCGTATTGTTGAGACTGTTAAATACGAATCACATCGGAGTTATACCCAGGCTTGTGACAAGACAATACCTCTATTTTCAGGCAGAGGGTGACTAAGTCGGGTCTCTCTCTTTGGATTGACACCCGGCTGAGAAAACTGACAATAATTAACCCGAGCCCGCTTTAGCGGAGGCTGGCCACATTTGCATGTAAATAGTAATTGTGTAGTGTATTTACCCCATTTTAAAATAATAACACTAGTTTTCATTTATAATTTTAACACATTTAAAAAGTATGACACAAAAACTATTTAAACTCTAATGATTTATCTGAAAGAGATATGCATATAATACATCCTGACGTGTTATCTCAACTTCAGTTACGTCCTCGTCGATGTAACGTGGATTCCCTCTGTGTTTTCTATAAATATTTTCCTGGAAATTTTTTCTGATGGTGTTCCGTTTCTCTGCTTCGACTGCATGAATTTAAATGTACGAGGAAGTTTTTCAGAAAAGTGCAACAAAATGGAATCCTGTACATAACAGTCTTTAGAAACAATTTAGATTTCGAAGGCAGATAATGAGAAAAGAGGGACTGGAATATTTGATACTCACAGAACAGACAAAAAGCATGTGGTATAGAGGGAAGCTAACCCACCTAGAGAAATTGATTAAAAGATTATTGTAGCAAGATTTAGTAGCGATAGAAAAAGATAATATACATTAATACAACGAATAGGACATTCTTGAGCGCCATGATGGCTGAACTCCTCAAGGGACACGATACATAGAAAAAGAAAACTTGATTGGCAACAAGGTCTCATTGTTTTACTGTTGAATATTTTATTCTCTCGTTCTCCTTGTCAGTTACAATCTTCACATACTTAAATGCAAGTTCAGTCGCCATCTTCTGTCTTTCTGAATCCTGTTTCTATACTGTCTTTCTCCTCACTTCTGTTTTCTAAAAAGTTTTTCATTTTCGCTTTCATTCACTGTAACACCATAGGTCTAAGGGATATTAAGGCCTTGCTTGAGGTGACAAAAAAGACAGAAATCATGGAGTATTATTAGGATCGTACATATTCTTAAAAATATCGCATAATCATATGACACCAAGATGATCAGAGACACAGAAAAGAAACTGCCGAAAATTATTGATAATATATGAACAGAAAGAGAGAAGAGACGGCTGGACATCGATTGTAAGACACAATGTGTGCTTGCTAGCAATAGGAAGAGTTTGAGCAACTCGACGTGGTGTAATTGTTAGAAAGTTTGTCTTGCTAGATCAATTACAACTGAGTAGTGAGTTCGATCCTCACTGCGTGCCCCATACTTTCTAAGCCGGGATTAGAAAATCACTAGCAATAGGAAAAGTCCAAGGTGCGAAGTACAAATGGTGTCGTCAGATTAATGTAAGTACACAATTATGTATGGGCGACGGTAGAAAATCTGACAGAGAAATCCAAAAGATTATTCAAATTTGTAAGATATCTTTGAAAATCAAATCTCAGTAAAAAGAAAGGAGAATTTGATGAGAAATAGATAAAATTCGGTATCTCCATGAAGTCACTAGAAAATACCGTGATGGCAACATGCTTCAAACGTAATGAAAACACTGATATATTGTCAAAATCTTTATGGTATTATTAACACTTAGTTCTTGAATAGTTAATTCAATTTGTACTTACTTTCGAAATTTTGATTAAAAAAAGATTCTTGCGTCTGCGATTGTACTAACTTTTAGCATATCAAATTTAGCATCTTTTTTGCCCTTACAGAAACACAGGTTTGGAAATATATGACGGGTTTTAATGAAATATTCAAGATTTATTTATTAATGAATGAAATTATCTTTTAAATGTTTTTATTAAAAAAAAAAAGCTTTTAAAATTTTTTCACATCCGTTTCATCCCTTGATTTTACGAAAAACTTGAGAAATTCAACAAAATATTATTAGTGAACATTCTAGTTAGGAGAATGCTTTGAAGAATTTAAATCACCGATTTTCTTTTGTAAAATCGGACATCATCTTCCGAATAATCACGTCTGAATCGAAAAATAAAAAAAACGCAATACGGCTAAGACATTAGAGAAGATTTTATGCGCTTTTATGAATATATTTTAAATAAAATGAAGAAATATATTTTCAGAGAGAAATAATTCTTTAAAAGACTTGTTTTCTTTTTCCACAATTTTAAACAGAAAAATTTATAAAGATTTAAATCTTTTAACATTAGGTTCCAATGTAATAACTCTTACAAAATAATGTTATTAAATCAAACTATATTTACTAATCATATATTGTAAAGGTTATTGCAATCTGACAAACCAAATATTTTGATTTGTTTTTGTATATGAATATATGTACTGAATATCTGAAGTATGGATGTAAAAACCGTTTAATCTATCATTAAAAGGTCACGTCTCTTAAGGGTTGTCCCCATTCATGAACTTTATCGTCTGCTTCAACATACAAAATTGTGAACATAGTGGGTGGTCAATCGGCTGACAATAAATCGATTAATACGCCAGAAAAACAAGTCCCTGTTGTTAAATGTTTGTATAGAACATTTTATGCTATAAGTACGTAATATTTGTTTCAAATCAGATTACTTTAAAGTTACATTTTCTAATTTTCCGCAAATAAATTTTCAGAAATATATATAATATTTTTCCAAAATTTTTAAAACAAACTAGAAGTAAATTCTGTTTACAAATGACCGATTTTTAATCGATTGTATTGAAAATGAATCGATTAAGATCAATACAATTTCTGTTTTAATTACATCACATAGTAGTTTCGTGACTGGAAATAGTACATATTAAATCCGATAGCTTTCAATTAAAGCTAAAATCAAAGCTTCAATGAAGATTTTTCATTTATAGAAATACATTACGTAGACAGAATTAGTAAAGGCAACTCGATAAAATAGTTTCAAATTTCTACATAATATATCTATATATGTGTCAAAGAGTTCTAGATAAATCCTAACTGCTAGACAATTTCCTTTCGCCGAGGAAATATAAATCTGATTCTACAGGTTGAATCTGATTATGACATATACGGAGAATGCGAGCAAACAGGAAGTTTTGAGAGCAATGAGAAACAAAGTGCGAACGTTTGCCTAGTGAGTGTAGACATTTCTGGGAGAAAAAATGGGGAAGGATGGTTGAAGAAAGTCAGATTCATATGCATTACAGAAGACAAGTGTGTCAGGGGAAAGATCACGTAACCTACCCAACAAGATGGTGAAATTGGGTGTCAGAACTATTTATGTAATGAAGTGTATGAAAGGTATACAAAATTGGTGATAGTGACCTTGTAAATGAAGTCACTAAGAACTATCATAGCGTACGACCTGAAGGGAGACGGTTCAAAGAAATAGAAGCAAATAAAACTGACACAGGAGCAAATTAATAAGTAAATATCTATACATTTATGATACAAGTTTCCGGTACTGAAAAATAAAGTCGGATAAATTAACAGCGCTATGGCATATTAATAATAATTATAGATTTTCTTCCCTACCGGAAGGACAAATAAGACTTTCACCCCCAATGCAATCTTCACGTTCTGATCAATATCTGACCATGATATATACATATATATATATATATATATATTTAAATAATATATATATTATATATATATATATATATATATATATATATATATATATATATATATATAGATTGGAGTGCATGCGTCTCAGGCTAAGCTAGAATTAAGACCTCCGCAGCTTCTGCCTCCTAACCGCTTGCGTGCTACCTTCCCGTGGTCCTCCCTGTTTCTCGCTAAATACATTAAAGTGACCGAGTGGACTGGCGGTATAATCATTCCCCTTTGCTGCCTTGTAGGGTTTGCTTTTTGAGGCAAATGCTAGGTGATTTAAATTCAGGTTACAAGGCGGACGTTGAAAAAATGAGAACCCGGTAGCCCGATGCAACCAGCATCATGGAGGTCGCCTGTCTCGTTTTTCTTTGAGCCGCGGTGGAAGCGATGTTGGCCGAGTGTGTGTGTGCGTGGCCGTCGCGCAGCCACGACCACCTAAAACAATATTCTCAGCGACTGGCATTCTGTCGTTTCTTTTTCTTTTCTTTTCTTTTCTTTCTTTCGCCGATTTTCATCTCCATCATCACCATCCAAGTCCTGTGGCGATAGCACCGCGAGCAACGTGGGCAGGCCTGGAACGCTGGAAGCCTTCAGCCCGCGACTGCACACAGGCGGTGGGTCAAAAAAGGTCGCTCTCTGGTGACATTGTCGTGACACCCGAGTTCGGCAGCTGGACCCGTGACTGGACTGGCCTATTGAGGACCACCGCAGCCTACCCCACATGGAAAGGTGGGGCAAACATCGGACAAGGCGACACATATGGCCAGTTTACCGCGTTTGCCGGACATCCCTCTACTGCGGTCCCAACAATGGAAAAGGTTTAAACAATAAAAATATCCTTACCCTTGGTGCTTGGAACATCCGCTCCTCCAAGATGTGGCGAACACTACCCGCCCGGAAAGATGCACAGCCCTCGTCTGCAAGGAGCTTGCCCGATTCAACATAGATGTGGCGGCCCTCAGCGAGACTAGACTGCCCGAGGAGGGCAACACTAGGGAAGCTGGAACAGGTTATACCATCTTCCGGAAGTGGAAGGCCCCCGAGGAGCCGCACATACATGGCGTTGGCTTTGCCATCCGGTCCCAGCTCGTGCAGCAGCACAACCTCGCTCCCACGGCCATCAGTGAACGCTTAATGACTGTCCGCCTTCCCATCATGCGGGGCAGACACATCACACTGATTTCAGTATACGCCCCGACTCTGAACTCACCCGATGAAGACAAAGCCGCATTTTACACCCAGCTCGACCATACCATCCAGAGAGCGACCGCCAACGACAAGCTCATTGTACTGGGCGAATTTAATGCCCGAGTAGGCATGGACCATCACCTGTGGGAGGGAGTAATTGGCCACCACGGTATCGGGAACTGTAACGTCAACGGTCAACTCCTACTGGGTCTCTGTGCGGAACATGAACTTGTGACCAACACTATTTTCACACTCCCGAACTGACAGAAAACAGCATGGAGGCACCCCAGTCCAAAAACTGGCATATTCTGGACTATGTCCTAACCAGAGCCAGAGATATGGGAGACGTCTGCATCTCCCGATCCATGCCAGGAGCGGACGACTGCTGGACGGATCACAGGCTCCTGATTTCCAGACTATCGACGAGAACCCTTCGACCACCTAGAAAAACACTGCACAGCGTACCACACCGACGCTTTGATTGTAGCAATCTCCGCGTCCCACAGCTAGCACGGAATTTTAGAGAAGCCTGCGAACGCCACCTTGCAGACACATAGATCAAGCCTCTGTGGAGCACCACTGGACCACCCTCAGAGACGCCATGACCCGTGCAGCGGAGAAAGCATCGGCTACTCAATTAAGAAAAGACAGCAATGGTTCGATGAGAGTTACGGGTTGATCTCCCCTGTCATTGAAACTAAACATCAGACACGTCTGACTAGGGAGAACCAGCCTACAGCTACCAATAAACGTGCTCATAAACAAACCGTAGCTAACTGCCAAAGAGGCATACGAGAAGCCCAGAACACCTGGTGGCAAAGAAAAGCAGCAGAAAGACAAAGCTACGATGACCAACGAGACCTGCGCAGTTTTATGCGGCAACCAATGAAATTTTTGGTCCTACACGCTCATCAGTTGGCGGACTAAAGGACGTGGACGGGGCTACAACCATCACTGAGAGCGAGGGTATTCTTGCAAGGGGGAGGTCTCACTTCGAGAGCCTCCACAACGCCCAGGTCAACACGAGAGACAATCTCCTGCGAATGACCCCGCAGCATTCTGTCCGTCACTGGATGGCACTACCACCCGACATTCATGACTTCAACAAAACCCTTAAACGCATGAGACCCGGCAAAGCCCCAGATCCTGACAACATCCCACTGGACCTCCTCACCCACAGTGGCCCCGAGATGAGGAACTGTCTCATGCTCCTTATATTGAAGATTTGGGAGACAAAGACCCTCCTCAGGGACTTCCGCGATGCAACGGTCTGACAATATTCAAAAATGGAGATCGTGAGAACTGCAACAACTACCGGGGAATACCACTGCTAAGCATCGCCAGCAAGATCTTCTCCCGCATTCTCCTGGATCATCTCTTCGTCTTCGCCGAAGATGTGCTGCAAGAGTCCCAATGTGGTTTTCGACCACCCCGCGCGACCATCGACATGATCTTCTGCGCACGGCAAATACAAGAGAAGAAACTCGAACAGCAAGAGCCCGCAATGTTCATCTTTTGGGACCTAAAAAAGGCCTTCAATAAATTACCCCAACCTGCTATGTAGGCAGTTCTTACT